AAAAAGTTAAACACATTTGGACAGTGAAGGAATGTCAGGATTCTTGCTCAGAAAAAGGATCAACATGCTCTGAAGTCAGAGCACAAAAACCTTTTTTGTAACAAAATATCGATTTCTGCTGTCCCTGTATCGATACATTATTAGCAAACAAAATATCGATTTTTTTTCCCCCACCCCTAATCTGTATGTGTCATAAATTGATCCCCTTCATCTCATGAATTGTATTTTCAAGTGCATTTTACTTTAATGTAAGACCAAGACAAAGAGCAACTGACAACCTGAATAATAAAACATTTGTCAGTCAAACAATTAAGGGAGGATAGCATGAATCATTTAAATTGATGAATTAATAATGGAATGATCCTGGCAGCTTTAATGTGAGCTGTAAATCAAATTTAGATTCAAGTATTAATAAAAAAAAGTTTATCTAAATGTTGTGATTGTGATGTTTGTATGCTTAGTTGCAGGTGAGTATATTTTGACAGGAGTGATTTTTGTTGTTTGTTTTTCTTGGCTTGTCAACAGCTGTAATGTAAAAATTCGTTGGTAATAAAAAAGCTATTGATTATTAAACATGTATGTTGAGTTCATTCACCAGATTTGCCTGAGAACAATTAAAAACACTGTACAGTCAGAGCCCATATGGAGCTGCAGCTGTGCCCTTTCAGGTAGGATTATATAATTCTGTGAATGCAACTGAGCTCTCTTTTCTTTCAATCCAGATTGAATCAGACAACAGTCTTTGTCCCCAACAACTGACTAATCGGAGTGACTCACACGGTGAACGCCTGCCACTCCCTTGGCTCAGGTCAGAATTTTTCTTACCACACTTATCAAGTTGTCAGGGGGAGTGTTTGTTTTTTTATTTTGTATTTTGGTCCCTTAAAATCGGGAATCAACCGTAATGCTAGCTTTAACATGCGTGCATACTCTATCTGTTTGCTTCTAGGAAGAAATGTGCGGCTGTGTGACAGACATGTGGGTCAGACACTGAAGTGTTACTCTTGTCTGTTGTCGTGTGTATTTGTGTTTATATGCAGTGAGCCACAGGCATGTGGTAGTCAAGGTGTGTGAAAGTTTCATGAGGGCGTATGATGCAAAAAAACGCATGTTTGTGTCTGTTGACAGTTAATGGCTCTTTAAAGTGGAACCTGTTTGGCTGCTTCAGGTTGAGTATATGTCCACCTGACTGCTCTGTATATCCTCATTCTCACCCTTCAGTGGAAAGGAGCATGGACTGGTGACTCTGTGGGGAAACTTTACGACACGACTCCAACACCACAGCAGGTACATGCATGCTGAGGTAAGCTCAGTTTCTTAAATTTACTTTTCACTAGCAGGTTTCATGCGTCGTGGTGGTAGTGGGTTGCATTTCAGCTTTTCACCTGGCACCATTTCACCATATAACATTCAGTCTGTCTTCAGGTTTATTTTATTTTTGCAGCTAAACAAGCATCTTTTTTTCTTTTGAAAGGCATTACTTTTCTTTATGATATTAGTAAATCTTTCAATAAACCTCTCAAGAAAAAAAAACCTCACAAAATGTTTTTTTTTTTGTTGTTGAAAGAACGTGTCTGGTCATCATTGTTCTGCATCTTGATGTTTTCACTTTTTTATAATTAGAAATTATACGTTATCTGAGGATTGTTAAATATTAGCACTGTAGTTCATTCTTCTATTTGGGACTCAACAAAGGCATGTGCACTTTGGCTTACTTGTAAAATGTTTAATATGTAACTGAATAGTATATCAGTGGCGTCCTTTAATCAAATGCCATTTGAAGTTGTGCATGATACCTGCTAAATGCTGAAAGTTTCGTCTTTTCATGCTAGCGAAGGATAAAATTCTCATGAGGAGATGTTTGATTGGAGTTGTTCACATGTCTAATTGTTACTTTTTTGCTAATTTCTTTTCAATTTAAACATCATACAAACATAAATTATGTATATTATTGTACCTTAATATGATTTCACTTAAAGTGAAAAAGTGCCAACTATCATGTTGTTTTAACATTTTATGTATTGTAACAGTCCTGAGATAATTATTGACATGTCCATGTAATACCTGTTGCCTGATCACTCTTTATGTTGTTGCTGTTCAGCAATAGTACACTGAGGTTGCGGAGACATTTGTGTGGACATTTATTTCACATTTTCTATTAATGTGTGGAGTTATAAAAACCCATAGATCATACTGTGTTGGATTCACAGGAGGCCTTTCTGTGTTCTTGTGTCATTGTGTTAGGAAGCAGTGGGTGTGGCTGCTTGGGCTTTGTGTGCTTGCAAAAAGAAAACAACAGTCTTGAAAAACCCGTTCTAGGTTTTCCTTAATGATGAGCTAACAGTTTCAAAGCCATAGTTTGAATACCTGAAAGATGCATCTGCTGACCTGGGTGCCACTTCTCTAAGCACATACAGTACAGTACAGTATGTACAAAAATGGATACAGTCTTCCTCAAAGCCTTAAGATTTTTTACATTTAGTATGTATAGTAAAAATCTTTTAGAGGGGCTGAATTTATTCCACTTTAATGTTGTAGCTGACTGGTTTAATGCTCTACTTTACTTTAAGGAAAACACATGAACAGTTTGCCATTTGTTTTACTTGCTCCCTTAATCTGTTAATCAAAGTCTGTTAACTGTAGATTATTTGTTCTTTTACAGGCTTAGTCAACCTGGATTTCTCAGTGCAATAGTGAGAAAACCACAAGAGTCATGGTATGAAACGTTTACATGTTGTTTTAATTCTTCCTAAAATGCTCATATATACAGAATTGAATAGTTTTGTTTTAAATTGTCTACTTTAGAGGAGTAATTCTTCTGTTCAGTTTACAAAAATGTTGCTTTTACTTGCAGCTTTCACATCGCAGGGGAAGAAGCCTCTCTGAAGCCCTGACCTTGGAGCAGTTAGAGGAGGGAGGGGTGGTCATTTCCAGTATCAACAATGACTCATCCGGCAAAGGACTAAAGGAAGGTATGATTCTTGACATGCTATTAAAACTTCTCTTCATATTGTTTTTGACTTTTTGAAAACAAGAAATAAAATAGTTGTTCCTAAAAAGAACACACCTTAAATTCAAGGAAACTATTGTACATTTAAGTGCTGTTTTACCACTATATATTAAATCGTTATAGGAAGCCTGATCTTCCAGGTCAGGGGTCGGCAACATGTGGCTCTTTAGTATTTATACTGCGGCTCCACGTGGTTTGGAAAGAAATTATAAGTATTTAACTGAAATGTATTTTATTTGTGTTCGTTCTTTTTTAACTTGTAGTTCTAAATTGGAAGATTATTGTGATCTTGAAATATAAAAATAAAATGATATGCTATTATTTTTTATTGCTCAAAATAAGCGTCACACTCGCGTAAACCATACCAGCAGGAATACCGTGCGTTTATGGAGACTTTCAACCCCAGGCAGGCCAATTATGGATCTTCGGATCCACATACGTATGTGAGCAGCTATTCTCCACCATGAGCTATGGTAAAAACAAACGCCGCTCACGCCTCAAAGATGACAGCTTACAGTCCTGCGTAAAGATGAAGTGACTTCGTACAGCCCCGATTTGCAGACGCTGTGCGCAGACGGTCTGGACCTGACGTCCCATTGTAAACATACAACGGCAGACCCGACGATGTTTGCATGTACATGCTTTTTGCTTTATTGACCACTTTTCACACATGGTTGCTGTACGCATACAGCCGGCTGTAGCTTTCCAGCTCACAGCCCGACACATACCAACACAACAGCAGAGAGAGCACAGACTTTAAACAGGCAAGGCTTGATTGTGGAAGCCGCTCAGGTACGTTCACCTCCCCTGCAGCGGCACTGCAGACTACGCCCTGCCACACACATTAACCACGTAAAATAAATATTTATGCAGATATTTTGCAAATATTTATTTTTCATTTTTGAGGCAGTTAAGTGATTTTTTTCCAATTATTTTTAAAATTCAGGTCAGGGCTCCGCTACAGGCTGCGAAATCCCAAAGGTGATATAAGGATGACGGCTCACTACAGTTTTTGTTTAGTATATGAATAATTTAAGTTCAGCTTTTTAATTCATTTAAAATAGACCTTCAACAAGGTGTCTTTCCTTTTTGATATATTTTTTAAAAGTTCTAAATGTGTTCATTACATAAATAAAATGTAATTTTCTCTGTAGCACTTCATGGATTTCATGACCAACACACTTTAGGTGTTTATACAAAGCATAAAGGTAAAAAACAATAACAGTGTTATCTTCATTGTAGATGTCAAAAAGTATTTGCGGCTCCCAGTGTTCTCTTTTCTTTGGAAACTGGGTCTAAATGGCTCTTTGGGTGTTAAAGGTTGCTGACCGCTGTTCTAGGTCAAGATCAGGCCATGTTTAAAGTACTAAAACTGCCCTTGAAGGATATACAGTATTATTTGCAGACAGTCAAGCATGTTCTCGAACAAGGTATTTTTTTGTGCAAGAACTTTATTTGTCTTTTTCAGGGGATGAAATTCTGGGGGCAACAATCAATTTTGATCAACTGTCCAAAGAAGAGGTGTTAAAAGTACTGAAGCTGATGGAGCCATTTGATGATAAAATTCAAGTCCTCACTCGAAGCAACCGGAGCAAGAGCCTTGACAATCTGGACCAGTGTATCAAGGGTCCTGAGGCTGTAGGTTAAATGCAGATAATATCAATTAAAAATAAAGGATTAGTAATTATATTAGTTTCAGTATGTTTATGCAACAGTGGAACACAGTTCACAATTGTTAAAATTTTCTGATGCAGATACATTTAATGCTGGATGCAAAAAAACAAAACAAGAGATTTTGGTACTCAAATTAAATAGTGATGATGATGATGACAATTGATAATTAATAATTATCTCCCACCTGTTATAACACAAACTCTCATATTATAGTTGCATTCCAATCACCAACTTCTCACTGTTTCTAGATGTTGACGGATTCCTACAGCAAACTGTACAACACCAAAATCAAGAAGTTTTTGATGGATGATGTACCCAGTGTTGAAGGGGGCTACGTGAATGGGGAGTTTACTGCCAAACCACCTGTACAAAGCTCATCCAAGGCCAACCAAAGAAATGACATGGGGCTGCCTCGCCTTGGAGTTGACTTTGGACTTCTGAAATCCAAGACTTTAATCACAGATGCTAATGCTGATTCAGACTCTTATGAGGGAAGCTTAACAGATGGCAGCAATCTGAATCTTCCACCGCTAGGTCTTGGCTTGAATGGGACTAATCTAAGTGAAGCTCAGGTTCCAAGATTCAAAATCGGTGCCAGATGTCCAGATCTAGACTTACCAGAAGATCCAAATGTCAGCACTACATCTTGTATGCAATTGCAAAATACTGACCACCCATCATTTGACAATGCAATGCGAAATCTTGAAAATCCTCAAATTGGACTTGAAGTTCCAGAAGTAGATGTAGGCCTAAAAGGTTCAAACATTACTACCCCTGAAATGGGGATAGACCTTGATGGCAGAAATTTCTGTGGTCCATCTGTTAATTCCAGCATTCCCAAAGTGGCCATTGAAGGAAGAAACCAGGAATTCAAAATGCCTACATTTAAACTGCCAGATCTGGGCCTCTCAGGATCTTCTTTTAGTGGTCCAGAATGTGACGTTAAGCATGAAGACACACCAGGGAAACTCAGTCTAAAGTATTCCAAGAGACTGAAAAACCCAGATCTAAATTTAGATGATTCTTCCAGTTATGTAAAATCACCCAAGCTTAGGCTGTCTGGGATATCACCTGATTCAGAGCAAGGAATGTTGGGTATTAATGTATCAAAACCAGATATCATTGGGACAGACACTGACATGCCTTTAGGTGAAATCAAGATGTCACACAAGAAACCAAGGATTTCTCTTAAATCTCCTGATTTAGATTTGGACGCTCAATCTGGCATGCTCAAAAGTGACGCTGATGTTAAAACACCTGACCTAAGATTGAAAACATCAAAACTAAAAGGTGGCATGTCTGCACCTGATGCAAACATTCCCAAAGCTGACCTTAAGGGTGAAAATTGGGCCACTGATGCTCCATCAGTTAGTATTAAAGGTTCATCTGGAAAATACAGGGCTCCAACGTTTAGAATGCCCAAATTTGACTTACCAGTCATTCAGGTTCCTGGTTTGAATGGAGACTTGGATGGACCCGATGGACAGCTTTCAGGTACACTACCTAAAGGGCCAAATTTAAAACTAAATGCACCTGACATAAATGTGCCAAATGTTGACCTCAAAGCACAAAAACTAAAAATTAATGCACCAAAAACCAACTTAGACTTTCCATCAGGCGATCTCAAAATGCCAGAACTTCATGGTCCAGATTGGGATGTTAATGCTCCTTCTGGGAAATTAAAAATGCCTAAATTTAATCTGTCAGGGACACTGCCTAAAGGACCAAATTTAGACCTGAACGCAGATCTGAATTCCCCAGATCTTAATCCAAAAGTTCCAAAGATAAAGGGTGGAATTGATGCCCCTGATTTGGACTTACCAGACATGGATCTGAAAGCTCCCAAATTAGATATGAACACTCCAGGTGTCAACATTGGCTCACCAAAAGGGAAGCTGAAATTCCCCAAAATGAAAATGCCTAAATTCAACCTTCCAAGCCTTAAAGGTCCTGGAATTGATGGCAACTTGGATGGTCCAGATGTGGACATAAATGCACCCAATGTCAACCTCAAAACTCCAAAAGCAGATCTTGATCTAGATATTTCTGGTCCATCTGGCAAGTTTAAAAAGCCAAACCTGCATCTGCCTGATTTGGGGTTTTCTGGTCCAAAGTTAGAAGGCCCTAACTTGGACCTTAAAACACCTGACCTAGATATCTCTGGTCCCAATTTCAGT